ATTTTTTCGTGTCTATTTTGCCCTCAAATCTTTTGTTAGTAAAAACTTTATTTACAAAAATGCCATTATCAAAAATTTCGAAAAAAAAGAAATTTATTTTTTACGGTTTTGCCATATGACAGACTTAATTTAATGTGATGACAAATTTATTTTTCGATAGACTTATTTTCTTTTGGCCACATATTTACTTAATATTGACAAATTTATGAATATTTCACAGATTTACTTAATAGATTTTTTCTTTTTGGCCATAGACTTATTTAATTTTGACAGACTTAATTAGTTTTAAATAGATTTATTTTTCTTTGACCACAAATTTTTTTAAATTTGATATACTTAATTAGTTTGTCACAGATTTATTTTCTTTTGCCCACAAATTTACTTTATTATGATAGATTTATTAGTATTCGATAGACTTTTTCCACTTTGGCCACAAATGTACTTATTTTTGAAAGACTTAATTATTTCCATCACAAATTTGTTTATATTTAGAGACAAATTTTCTTAAATTTGACAGATTTAATTAACTTGTCATAAATTTATTTCTTTTTGGCAACAAATTTATCTTATTTTGACAGATTTAGTAGTATTTGATAGATTTATGTCACTTTGCCACAGATTTACATGGTAGATTTATATTTTTTTTACCACAAATTTATATTTTTTTAACCATGGACTAACTTATAAAGATTAACCTAACTATACCGATTTACGTAAACCAAACAGAGCAATACCATATTAACCTAACTAAACCGGAATATGGTATTATCAGTAGATTTTGTAGAAGGGCTAATGATTATGGATTTTGTGAACTTATAAGTTTATTTTGTATTATCAAGCTGTTACGTATATGTGACTTGATGTTCAGTGCAGGTCACTAATGACAGTTCTGATTGACTGTAAAGAATAATCTTGTCTCATATACATTTTATTATCAAAATCTTGAACTTTGTCATCGTCAAAAAAATATTTGAGGGGTTAAACTGTTTAACCAACATTAATTTTCTCCTTAGTATATATGTAGATTCCTCTTGTAATGACCATTCAAAATCTTAAACCACACAGTTGATTTCATTCGGGCATCGAAAGGATCTCAACAAAGCTTATAGATTAGAGGTTTTATTGTCAATTCAAAGAAAAACATGCTAATATCTGAACATTCAAAACAAAAGAGTCGTACAATCCCATTCCCAACTAAAAATATAACGACCTACTCGCCAGGAACTTGAACGC